CCCCCTAACGAGTGCAGTGATTTCGAAAGAAAAGAAGATGAACTGGCAGAGAGAGAGAAGTCGAAGAGCGATTATAGGGGCTTTACGACGTCGCGACGCGAGTCGACTCAGAAGACTTTCTTGCGTACGACTCTCATGGACTTCACCTTATTCCCCGCGCCTTCCCCGCGCGCGGTTTGAAGTAATCAACAGCCTATAATTTAGCCTGATCGAAACGTAGGGGCTAACGAACAAAAACGATCTCGGTTTTTCGTGTTAAAAATCATTATATGGAGACTACGCAGGCGCCGGCATCGATGTCGGCTTGTTCTCATCTCCCGAGTATATATTAACGATCTCAAGCGATTCCGCAGAACAATTTATAAAGCATAAACTTTTTCGATATTTGCGTAATTATTGTGCGATAAAACCGCCCAACGATTTTGAGGCGATGCTGAACGAAGAAGACGATCACTTGGTGGCGTCACTTGTTAACAGTCGACGGAATTCGGACTAGACGCAGATTTCGTCTACGTCTTCTAATTTCTGTCGAATCCTAATCGCGATCGTTAGTCAAATTAGATCATAAAGTTTTTGTTGAATTGTCCGTCATCATAATCAACTTGGGAGGAGTCACTTCGTGATTGAGAACCACAATGTAGATTTATTTTCAACTGTATGCTTTGCTTTGTATTTTTTTTTTGTAGTAAGTCTTTAAATTATCATTACGATAATTATAGCATTCGTAATGCTATAAATATTAATCAGCATATTTTAAGTTTGAAGTTTTCATAATGTAGATTTCAAAACACGGTGTATATTTGACCCAGTCATATATCAGAAATCTTTTTGTAGTAATATGAAACAGTCCAAGTGAACATCGGGGAGAATATGGTTGGCATGCCGAGAGGAAGAGATCATGAAAATCGTGAAAATCGTGAAAAATACCGCGGCATTCTCGAGTATCCTTTCGAGTACGATTAGCGTACTCGTGGCGGCGTTCCGCCGTTATCAATTCTCCGGAGAACGCCAATAAAAGAGACAAAGGTAGCGCAGTGGAAGGAGAGGACAACGGAGGGGTCGGTTTTCCTATATTCGCATGCATACGTCATATTCGGGGTGAGTTTTTACCCCGTGGATTCGCGAGGTAGAAAGAGACTCCGTATCCGACGCTGCACTATCTATACATATGTTTTATGCATCCCTTCCCCAGAAGGTATCCAGCTTCGTATCGTCGACGCGGCGATATCGAGCAAGAGAAAGAGAGGGAAAGAGAGAGAGAGAGAGAGAGAGAGAGAGAGAGAGAGAGAGAGAGAGAGAGAGAGAGAGAGAGCACATTTTCATTCTAACTTTGCCCTAGATAAGCGTTCAAACGTTTAAATAAATCATCTCCGCATTATTCATACGCTTTATTGATTTATTCCTGATTAATTTTCTTTTATTATTTATTTGTTGACAAAATTGTCGAATTTTATCAGAAATAGATCGTAGTAGGTTATGCTGCATTTTTTAATAAAGTTGCATTTAGGAATATATTTACGTAGATATTAATAAGTATCGCATTTAATCACTTACTTTTTAATGTAATTAAAACTTTTTAATTTTTATCAATAGTAATGGAATATGTTACATCACAACATAAAATAAATTGAAATTTATTAAATAGAAAGAAAGATTACAATCGATAAAATGCGTCAGTACATAAGTTGCGTTAGTCAGCAGGTAGATATTTTTCCGACAACATCCGCCTGGAGACATTTCCCACTTGTCTCGCCATTGCGAAGGCGCTTGAGCACCCCTGCAAAACGGGCGAATATATACCGCAGGGCGCTATACGGAAAGGAGGTTGAGCATGGGGGGTGGGAAGGTAGGTATAGGTAAAACGGCAAAGCCACGGACGTAACGTTGAATTTATCCGCGGCGTATCCGCATACACGAAGGTATCCGTCTATCTTACTTTATCCCTGGGACGCGCAGCGCCGTATGACAGCCCCGCCAGCTGATCTATCGCATAAAACATAAAGTGGGGTATTCCATTTCTAAGGCCGCGCCCCGCAACCCTCCGGAGCCGCCATCCCGGTCGCTTCTATCCGGCTTGAAATATATCGCGGAACGAGGCGCGCGGAAAATGTGTGCCCGCCACTTGTGTGCAGTTTTTCACGACGGTCGTAGCGAGACATGCCGCGCGTTTTAATTTTTTAAGATGGTTTAATGCTTCAGTAACGATCGACACTTCTTCGCGATACCGCTCGTATACTAGATGATATTGCACTCTTGTTTGCACTTGACGCTCGAGTCTTATTTGTAATTAATGTTTGATTTGTATGTCAATCTACAAAAATAATTATTTTAAGAATTAATTTTCACTATTAGATTTATAATTAATTAAAAATTTTGAAATATTTTTTACACTGTGTAAATTTTAATGTGTATCTTAGTTATTATATTTTTTGAATGTTAATTTTTGTTATCCTGCGCAATCAATCACAATATTTACGACATTATTTATTGTGCAAGTAATATCGAATATTTAACACATTAAAGAAATGATACGACATGCCAAAAGCATTTTTTTAGAAATTATTACACGCTCGTACATATATCGGATAGAAAGAGAGAGAGAGAGAAATGGGAAAAAATATCTCTCCCATCACACATGAAACCGTCATTCGCAGACGGTTACCTCTCTTTTACGTGTGATTTCGCGCGAGCAAAAAACTCGCGGGAGAGGAGAGTTTACACGCCGTGAACCACAGGAAGCATGGTGATTCGACGAAATATTGGCAACAACATGCGTAAATATATCCCCTTTGCTTTCGAAGTTACACCGGTGCGTAAGCTCGGAAACGAGACTGAGTATGCACGGCATTGTGCACGATATTTTAGCATGACGGTTTGTCGTTATAATTTGTTAACGACGGAAATAGCTAAATGATATTGCACGCTAATTTTGTGTGGCATCCGCGGTAGAGCTGGACGATCTAAATCAGGCGATTAGTATTTACGTTTAAACTTAGTAATAATAATAACTATAGCATTATTCTATCTGGTTAATCGTTAAATCATTTGTCGGTTAAACAATCGACAAGCTAATACAGCGAACTATTGAAATTATTACACGCTGAATTGCATCAGTCTAGTCTACAGTAAACACATTTGCTGCACATTTCTGCGAAGATGGTCGTCTAGATAGAAAGACGAAAGGTGAGGCGAAACGCGGGGATGCGAGGGGGTGGTAGTTGGATGTTTGCGAAGAAAAAGACGGAAGGAAGGAAGGAATATTGCAAGGCAGAAGCGGAGGCACTCCGAATGCAATCCACGTACCGACTGCTTTCAAATATTAATGTCACGTGACTTATTATATCCGAGGCGTGTGCGGTGGAGTGAGCTGGAGCTCCACCGTCTACAAGAGCCGCCGACGCCGCCGCCGCCGAGCATCGCCATCCTCGCTGGTGAGAGGCAACTGTGTAGGCAGGCTATGCATCGTTGCGGCAGGACTGGCTTGTCTGAGCTTGATTGTAAAATTTTTCGCGGCGCATAGTGGTCCATTTTATCGCCTTATACTCGACCGACGAGAAAGCTGCGAAGAGAGAAACGGAAGCGAGAAAAGAGAACGAGAGGGAAACGCCGGGGGGTTGGTGTGTCGACGTCAATGGTGATGGCTGGTGGTGGTAGTGGCGGTTAAGGTAGCCAGAATACAGAAGGGCCGCTACTACCGGATAAGCACGGAGACGTGAGAATTGCAGGAAAATACTCGAGCACACCGCGGTTTTTAATCTGCTGGCGCGCTCATTCTCGCGGATACCTTTCTAATTTTTATGCGATCGCTCATGCGTGATCGAAAATCAAGGAAAATGGAGAACAAGGGCCCGAGAGAAACGCGATTGTGAGATGTGAAACGATACGAAGGAACACTTGTCGCACCAACCGCCACTTCAACCGCATCGGGTTAAGTTCTTATCGTTTGCGCGGGAAATAACATCAGTTTTGCGTTTTTGCGAGCACAAAAATTGTTTGTTATACCTGTACAGCGTTTACCAGAAGTTTCTTTCTGATTACGCTCTGATCAAGTTCTCTGACTAAAAATTTTAATTCGAGTTTTAAAGAGATAATTTAACGCGGAATATTTAACTTAAAAATTAAGGGAATTAAATGAGGATGTTTAAAAATGATAAACGCAGCATATATTTTCTAACGTACAGCTAAACGGTGAAAGAAAGCGGGCAATTTATGATATAAATATATTTATAAATTGTACTTTCATGTTTGTTATCGACAGATTAAATTGAAACCTAAATGGCACATATATCTTTTCGGATTATCTCTATGAATAAGACTTAATGGATAGTGAGCGATCAAACAAAGCAATTTAAAAGCGGCTACATTGTGTGTCGGTTTCGCGTGTGGTTACCTTTGATTTACATACGCGGACCGTACTTCCGCAGTATTATGACGTCACATGTGCCCCAAGGATCGCGTGCACGCACTCGTCAAAGGGTTGAGACAGGGTTCGGCTGGCTGGCGGTGACGATCGATAAGTCCTCCGTCTCGTTCCGCATCGCGAAATCGATCGAAACTCGAGTTTGAGAAGGTCGCGCGGCCTACCAGTTCGCGTTCAGTTCACTTCTGCATTTAACATTTACAATATATGCCTTACCTTCAATACCCCGCAATCTACGACGCGCACTACCCCATTATAGGATCGTTCTCGCCGAGCAAAAACACGCAGCATGCCTGGCTATTTCTGGTTTAATGCAAATATAGCGCGGAAGCTCGCGTTAAACCGAATAGTCAACGTGATTTTTGTCGAGAGTAATGGCGAACATTTATCGAGAACATATGTGCGTGTTCATTAAAACTTGCAAATAATTATTTATGTATTGCATATGGTTGTGTTTTAATCCAAATGGAAATAAATAATGTGTAACGATTAACAAAAAATTGTTATTAACATACAAAAATTAGATCAACATAAAATGTATGGTATGATTCGCAACTAACATATATTTTTATTTTTCCAGATTCAGCTGAAAGCGCACTCTTCACTGGCGATACAACGATCGGTGAGTGAATTCATTCATTATACTTGCGTAATTATACAAAACACTGATTTTATCCAGTCTTTGTTATCCGTCAATATTTTTTATTTTTATCTTGCGTCTGAAAGATCATATTCAAATGCGACAAGTATTTAAAAGCATCGACCTCATGCTTAGTTTTGAGAACGGTAACGTAGTACCGTCAGTTTTTCAATTACATGCAGGAAGATAGATTTACATACTACAAGTTCCCCGACTTCCAGTTTTAGTTAACGTATTTGTATACACGTAGTCGATATTACTACTACGAAATAATCCCTTACTTCCGGGAACAACGACGTTCAATTAGGAAGTGCCATAGGATCAGCGCGAATCCTTTTAACACACAAATGAGGTTAAAAGTTTTAATTTTTGCTTAAAACCGCTTTAACGATTATTGTGATTAATTCGGATATTTTTTATTATTTGCGCTGAAAAATTAATTGTGCGCGTAGATACTTAATTCTTTTATGAATACATCGAATTCGTAATAAGGAATGCCGCAAGGTATAAATAAGCGTAAATTGGTCTGAAATTGTACAATTCGCGGTTCTTACTTTTATTGATTTCCTAAACGCACAAGCTGCAAGAAATTTTAACCGCTGAGAACCGCTGCGTGGCGGACGAATTAACAGTCACGAGGCTGGCACTAATATAAGAGGATTGATAATCATCTTAAATTATCGATCCGATTGTTTATACGCCGCCGCAATTCTATTTAATGTCGTTCGTTTTGCGAGCCAGTCTACCTTATTCGCCGCACTTACTTACCTTATATCTACTATCCACGTCGACGTGTACTATGCGTGAACACAACCATGGGCATTAAATTTATCGTCCTGCGCACAGTTTCAGGCTAACTGATTCACTCGGCTAATAGCGAGGGATTTGAGCCCTGATTTATTCGATCGAGAACGCGTTACGACTAAACTATTCCTTCAGTGAATATCTATGTGAGACAAGCGCGATGCAAGAACGCACATCGCTTCCATTTAATTAATAATTTCCCTCATGTGTTGCGTATTTCACTATAGTTCTGTGTTTAGATACAAATATTTATTCTCTCGCAGTAATTTTTTTTGCATTTTTTCAGATCCTTTAACGAGTAAAAGTAACGTTGTGAATTCTATTTTACTAATTATTTTCACAAATTACAATATTTTTAAATCTATGTAAAAATTAAAAAAGAGATTTATTTTGATGCTATTAATTCGTGCATTATTCTGGTTACAAAATTAATTTATGAGACTAAAATATTGGGATTGCATAATAAAAAATAAAGCAACTGAAAGTTTGACATTTCGTTTATTTCGGCACAGTCTCGCAAAAATTCATTATGATTTCTCGCGGAAATTTTCAAAGAGGTGAAAAATAGCGATACCAGCGTAGAGCGCCGAACCGGGTGGAAGAGAAGATCGTGACGATAAAAATGTTCGTCATATACGATGTATAGCCGGCGCAGCGATAACAAAAACATGCTCGGTAATAATGCAGATAATAATAATGATTGTTGTCTTTACGACCAACACGTGTTCGAAATAACGAGTTACTAACTAGACCTGTGAAACATTGTGAGTATTAATGGGGATGGCTTTAAAACTAATAATCTGCGCGGACGAGAATTCGAACGAATACGCGAGCGACAAATGTCGTCTTCGGTTCGTTATAATTTAACATCGTTAATTAACCATCTAGTGACTATTTAACGTATGTCTCTCTCAGTTAAATAAGATATCGCGTTTTAACAAATTCAAATGAAATCTAATGATTGTAATATACGGAATCGGATCATTAATTGGCAACGGAATCGAATAAACCTTAATAAGAGATCGTCTATCTGCGTAACAAGTTGCGGATTACGGAAAGACACGAAAGCAATATCGACATTCCCAATTAGGAACGCGATTCATAAGACGTATAATAAGATCGATAATAAGCGCGGCGCGCAGAAACGTAGTGAGCGCATCAGCCGGCGATGCGTGAGATTCCGCACGGCGCGCTCGATGAACGAGCAAAAATAAAAAGGAGAAAAATTGGAAGACAGCTAATTAATAAACGAGCGCGTGCATGCTGCGGGCGAGACGGTGCGGCGCGAGCGGCTCGACTTCGCGCTGCCGCAAATGAAGATTGACACCGCAATCGTCATAATGCAGTCATTATAACTCGGTAGCGCGCCAAAAGGGACCGAAGAAGCCGGGACGCGTACCCTCGATCGAATCGAAACGAACGGAGCTTTTTTGTCGGCGTAATTTTGGAGCGCAGCGGCGCGCCGAACCATGTAGAAAAAGGAGAACGAAGTCAGGAAACGAGGAAATTCTTGGCATTGTCGGCTTCAGTCTGGATCATTGATGATCGCAAGCAGGAGGTCCGATCACTGTATATACAGGGTGTTTCACATAATGCACGAATTTCAAATATCTATAACGTGAAAAGTATTCTTATCGATATATTATAATAAATAAATATTTTTTTTTAACACGTTGCTGGAGAAATTAATAGATCAGTAATCAATTTGATATTTATAGCTATTATCGCACATATGATAAAGACTTTATACAATTTTCTTATAATATCCATGAGACACCCTGTACATATAATATTTTAATGCGAATGTCCGACAGACGGAATTACATATCTTACATGTGTAAGAGCCACTGTGTCTTTATCGCCGCGTGAACGCCACGGAAAATGAGCGACGTATTGTACGATAGAGAATCGATTTGCCTTTGATCGATCGATCCGCCGTGGGTGGCTCAGAGCACCATGCTGCTCGCGAAATAATAAGAAATGGATTTGTGCCTGAATCTCGATTACGCTTATTAATTTTGACATTGGTGCAAGTCTGCGCGGTGATTACATCGCTTTATAACGGAGAAATTGTCTTGCAAAATTCAAAACTATTTAAGAAATCACTTAAAACGATCGATAAGATAGCATTTCGCGAACGTTGCGCGAAGAGTAATTATAACATTTTTCTACGCTGTGGCACAAAGCAATTAGTAAGTTAGGTGTATCGGCTCCTCGAACATTTTTATTTCTTAAATGTCACCTGAGATTGCAAATTCGTACGCTATCACGATGAGGGGTATACGTTGCTCGGCTCCTTTGACTTTGATTAATGCCGTTGATTTCATCGGAGGCCTTTCGCATTAATTGTTCACATAATGCTAGAAATATCACGAGGGGGCTTTAATGAGTGCTCAAGGTTGCGAAAGAAATCCTCACACCTTGAACTATCGCGACGCCCACGGGAAGTGAGCAATGCGGAAAATGAAACTCGCAACATCTCGAAGCACGATTGCGGAAGGACTTTTCGCGCTGTTGAAGCGAATCGTTCGAGAGCAGAACGAGAGCCTTTAGTTCTCTACCAATTAAAATGCGGTTTAGCTGGTAGAAGTAAGCGCGATAATTACGCGACGGTATCGCATAAAATAAATCGCAACGTCATTCGTATCTACGGCAGTTAATTATGCTGGCGCAGCATGAGAAATGCCTTCGAAAATAGTGTAAATATTCGTACTCCACTTAGGCATACTATAATGCAGTGCGTAAAAGATCTCCGTGCATTCTTCGAAGTGTCTGTTTGCAATTCAATGAGAAACCACATTACGCGTTACAATGAAGACAGTTTGCAATTATCTGCAATTTTTGCGCCAATGTCAGACATAATTAGGATATAAATTTTAAAGAAGTGTGAAAAGATAATATTCGCTGTATGTGCGAAATGTGGTATTCAAATAAAATTCTATCATAATTGCATGGTAAGGATTAATATTAGTCGAAATACATATTAATATACTTGAGATATAATTGTCTATTATGACACTGACGAGTTTGATAATTTAATAAATCCTCAAGAAAATATGAATAAAATTCTAATTATCTCCTTACTGACATTTTTATTCAGTATCTTTAACTTCATCTTTCTACATAATTGTGTATTTTTATACGCTAATTGATATAAATAACATGATTAACATTTGAAATAGACGTAAATTAAATTTTCTGAAATATTTTTCCAGGGTTCATGTAATGGTTATTTTGACATTTGATATGATACATTATGTTCAAGATTTTCTTTTAACTTATGAGATTGATATTATTTGTTTATATTATTAAGTTGGCGCCACATATCGTAATGGCTCAATTTACATTCGTTCCAGCAGCGGGACGGAGTCCTAGAAACTAGGGACAGCTTCGGCGATAGGTTTTACGAAAAGTGCTAGTCACGTTTCTCGGCAATGACTCGTCAAATAACTGGTCGGCAGGCGGACGTCTCTCATTAAATTGTTAGATCTACATTAACAGTGGTCAGATTAAAATCTATTCATCGATCGTTACCTTTAATGTATTTCCAATTAATAATGACCTGGCCGACGGGAAAAAAACTCCCCGGCATCGCGCTTGGCTACCTACACAAAGTGAATTTCATCGTCGAAAAACCATATTACAAATTTAAATGTCAGAATAGGATATTCGTGATAATTGACGGAGCGAAATGAAATTTTGTGCGTCGGCAAGATCGGCTAATATAATTTTAATCTGAAACAAGAAGCTGTCTCTTTGCAGATTTATTTTTAACAAAATTTGTCAGAAGTCCCTTATTCATTAATGTCGCACATTATCGATTCCTGCATATCTACGTATCTACGTTTGATCATACCTGTCGTAATTTCCGATTGCTACGTAAGATACACAACGATTTATGGTTTCCTTCGTCAAAGATCGTACAGTTTTGCGTCGGTCGAGGCATCTGTCGCGCATAACGTCGCCGAGCGCTCGATCGTCGCGAACTCACAGCCGTTAAGAACGACGATTTACGCTATCGCGTGGAGTAATGTGAGCGCACACGCGTGTACGTTTAAATTGGGAATATACATACGCAACACAGGCCGTAAGACGACGGGCTTAGGAGCCTGCTAAATCGATCGAGGTAAATTCCCCGCAGTGTATTGAGTAGTTTATTGCTTTCATGCATTTGCATG